GATAAATATCGAAAATTTAAATAAAACGTAAATTAGTACTTGCATATACAAAGATGAAATGAAGCATAGCGAATGCGTCAGGAAGAAAAAAATAAAGATAGATAAAAAAGGAGTTGTAAAGAATAAAAGTTTATAACGTTATATTATAATAATAAGAATAAATGTTTTACACTGCGTATATCCTTGTTGAAATCTTGTAGAAACATTGTGTTTAACGAATTCCCCAAGTAAGAATTCAAAGATGTAAAACATTTTTATTTGTATGATTATATAGACAGAGCATAAAGATATGTCAAATTATACATGGTACATAGTTATCTAGTTTAAATTGTTTAAATTCATCAACCAGTTTTAGTAATTTTTCCATTAAATGAGATCTTTATGTGGCACAACAGTTTGTTTATAGTATCAAAATTGAAGCAGATTTCTAAATTAGGGTTAGTGTGCTCAAATTCAAGTTCTTATCCTTGCAGTTCGATATGGATGGTTCCGATACCAAACCTTTCACGAGAGGGAAGGAAGTCAAGCCTGAGATGCACACAGCTCTATAGGAAAGTTTCTCTTTGCGCTTGGGATATGTGTACACAGAACTTTACCCACCACTTATTGAAGAGGGACGGGTGTAACCACTGGGGTGTGAAGAAGAGCATAGTCACCACTGCTAATCTCCCTCAAGCCAGCTAACCCTAATCCTGAACATACTGTCTGCCCGACTACCCGTGATAATCCTTCCGTTGTTGTGATTCACACAGCTACGCGTGTGTGTGAGAAAGCAAAAGAAAAGAGCAGTCGTGAGAGTATTATACGTGTACAATTTCCAAAATAGGATCAGAGTACAGATGTGCTGCAAAAGGTCATTACAATAATGATACAAATCTCTTATTCTTCTGTATTATATGCGGTTTTACAGTTAGATGACTCTCACTTTGCCAAAGCTCAGTTAGAAGGCTTAAGGTTGCCATATTGCAGAACAGAGTCAAGGGTGCTTATTTATATACTTCTACTGAAAAGAAAAGTATTTGGTTTTGTACTTTTATCTTGTTTGTATAAATCAAACTTTGCTGTGAGCTGAAAATAATTGCGTATATATATGAGTTTAGAGAAACTTTAGCTAGAACGATGTTATTTTTGAAATGTGGAGGGGGCGCAATGATTATGTAAAGTAATATCTGTTGGTTATTGTAGTCAAGAAAGAAGCGTATCAGAATATTCTAAATGGCGGTGGCGTTTTGTTTGGGTTTTTTTAAGCGTTCAAGCAAGGTTTGGTTCTTCTATCGTACGTTACTTGGGTTGCTTCATCGGTAACATAGCTTTAATAGTAGAAGTACGCCGAGGAATGAGTACTATAAACCTTTTTTGTTCACTGCTTGCCCTCCATTCGGTTCGTTTCTAGGAGCCGTTAACCTCGTTTAACGGCAGACGCGTCCATAACAAAAATACGCTTCAAACAACAGTTCTTCAGCGCTCTCTCTCTTGCTGCCTCCCAGTTTTGATGCCGCTTTAATCGGGGAAATGCCAGCAACCATATTACAGATCCAATCGGCGCCGGGACAAAACGCTGATGTCCAAACTAATGCAATTAGAGACGAAGTGAACGCTGTCTCTAATCGCCCGACACCAGTGGGAGACGAAGCGCACAGAATAGAACCCAAAACCTCGTTTGATCCGATCATACTAGCTATACAACAATTAACAATCCCAGTAAGCTCCAGCCTCACATACACGGTAGTTGATTAGGTTTACTAGGCTTACCTTTCTGTCGGGGAGGGGTGGAGATAGAACAAGCATCTGAATTGACGACTGATATTGTTTTTTGCTGAATTAGCTAAATTCATAAACATGTAGATTAATACAAGTTGCATCAATTCTGAATACTGACATCGTTCCTTTAGCATGTGTGCACAAAGTAACATGGTGTGTGCATGTTTTTGAAAATATAGAAAAGTGGAAACGCAAAATGCTGAGTAAAGTTATATATTTTGAACGAAAAAAATAACTAAAACGAAATGTCTAGAAAAATGTCATGTGATGCAGGAACAAGTGGTTAGAAAAAATGACCAACATTTGAGTTATGCAAGCGTTCAAAACCCACTTAACTGTTGTAAACTATTGTCTTCTGTGGTATATAGTCCTTTGGTGGGACAGTGGTAAGTATACAGACTTACAACGCAAAATCTAGAGTTCGATTTCTCTCTGTTCACACAGTAGATAGCCCAATGTGGCTTTGCCCTAAAACAAACATCAATCGTCATCAAATTTAAATATCTAGTATTGTTGAAAAATTCGCTATAGTAAACTATCATGTCAGTGTTCTCCTATCTTCTACCGCACAGTTGAAAAATTCTGTAGAAATTATAGTAATGTACTTTAAAGACTGTAGTTACTAAATTAGAACAATAACACATGTAAAGTTTTTGATGTCGTGGAGAAAAATTAATAAACTAATTAAATGATTAGTATCAAAGCATCAAACACCTCAGTTAAAATTACCCAGAATATTACTTAATAATTTCACACTAAAATAAATCATATAACCGTTTCACTCGCCTAAGAAAACATGATAAAAAACCCAAATGAAAAACAACAATGGTACGGTTGAATTCCAATCCTACAATGAAACTCTGTTAACAATATTAATGTTAAAAAAAGTTTTAATTCGTCGCAAATAAGCCAAAGAACTGTACTTTACAATAAAGACTCGGTACAACAATCCACAATGAAATCTAAATAGCAGTTGTTGTATAATTCAAATAGTTTTACGCTCTTTGGGTAGTGGGATTTATAACATCTTTAGAATAATATTGTGCATGAACACACTTTAAGGTCATCTGTTGTACAAAGCATGCATAACACATACACACACACATCAGTTAAACGGTGAAAAACTATCATTATTAACTGTTATCTTATATAGTCCACATACATATTTCACGATATAATGTCGCTTTGTTCATAACTTTCTAATTAGAATTTATAAACTCGTCTCATACTGGCTGCGATTTCTGTTGAACATATTACTTATAAATAATTTTGACAAAGTTCAAAATCACAAGAAACTTCACTAGTCATACAGATGAAGATTTCTTAAAGCAAAATGAATTGTTAACGTCGTTAGTAAAGGTTGTGTTTTTTAATATTAATTCAAAATGTAATAAAGAAATTGGCTATTGTATATAGATAATAATGAAATGTATTGCTGCTAGGAAACAAAAACTTTCAACTTTTATTCATTTTTGAAAAATCACATCCTAACACCGCAGCTTAGATTTACCGTAATTTCATGACTATAAAAACTACAATGACTCTCCTTCAATGTGTATACAAGTGCGTATTTACTTTCCCAGAACCCAAGAGCCAGAGATCGTGAGATCTAATAAAGCTACGGAAAAGCCATATATTTCCGGCAATAAGTATAAATACATGAGTTGAGCCACGGAAGTTGGTATTACAGTGGACGCGTTAGGCTACAAAGGCTTTATGTATATATATTGCCAACTCAGCTAAGTCAACAAGTGTGTGAAAACATCATCTTGGTTAACTGGTAGTTTACTGACACCAGGTGGAGTTCCCACATTAATGGGAAAGTGAGTCGTGAGAAAGTGTTCCAGAAAGAAAATATAAATAGTTGGTTAATGTTGTGCTTCATTTATAAGATAACTGATCGTTCTAATTCTTTAAGCGTAGAATGTAGATATAATGTACCAAACTCTATTATTTACTACTGCTACTATAGAATATTATTGACAATTACGTGACGTCGATACGTCTTCAAATAACAAATTTTAATATTGCTTGAACGTATAAATACAGAAGAGAGTACAATGTAATCATAAAGAGTTCAACCAAATAAACAGTTGGATTTACATTTTCTTTACATCCTTAGATGTAAAATAAAAATCTACTGTATGCATTTAGAGTAAACAGTGATTTCACAGAGCGCTCTACTAAGAAATATTTGTCAACTATATGCAATAAAAATCATTTATTCTGTTCTCAAGTTGGATCTTGATCCTATTATAACTTGAAGTGAAATAAGGACTTTTACAAGATACGTTTATTTAAATCTTACAATGAAATAAGGAACTTTACAAGTTACTTTTACTGTAATCTTACAATGAAATAAGGAACTTTACAAGTTACTTTTACTGTAGTCTTACAATGAAATAAGGAATTTTACAAGCGACATTTACTGTAATCTTACAATGAAATAAGGAACTAGTAAATGTCACTTGTAAATAATCTTACAATGAAATAAGGAACTTTATAAGTTACTTTTACTGTAATCTTATAACCTATCATATTTCTATCTATGAATAAAGAATTCTCTTACTTCTTATGTTATATAATTTGATAAACTGTGTAAATATATGTTTATATCTTTGAGCTTCGTTAGTTTATATCTTTTTAATTTTAAATAACACACATCAGTAGCATTTTGATATATGCAATTTAATATTTAATATACAGTATAAGCAGTGACCAATCTTTTGATTTGTTCGTAACATGATATGAATGTTATCATGCCTTTTCTGCTCTTAGCTCACTGTGATAGCTTATTTAGAAATGTTTTGCAAATCTTCTCCAAGTCTAGAACTTATTGTAAGCCTAGTACCAACCGTTTCACTAGAAAGCTTATAGTAAATGCTTTAAAGCTATGAGCTTTTCTTAAATATCAAGAAATCTCTATTTATTCATATAACATTTTGAGGAAATCAGTAATCATATTAATATCGCATAATTCATGCTTTATTTTCCTTATACTTTTCTCGTGTTACTACCAGCATGATAATAAAAAATGAGTATAAATATATATTGATACTTATTTAACCAATTATTATGACAGATTCCTTACAAAAAAACGAAGCGCAACTTACTGTTTACAATAACAAAAAAAAAATCACTAATTAAAGTTTATAATTTTATGACATATAACACAACAGTGATCATGAATTTGTAGCATAATTTGATAGCTTATTTTAAGAAATCTTTGTTTTTCTTACCGTCAGATGCTGGAAAAGCCATGCACGCATTATGTTAGTAGCAACTTTAGGAAATATTCCACGTTTTTTCTGTCTCTTCTTTCCTCTTTCATCATCGTCATCCTCTCCAGTACCATCTCCCGAACCTATACTGGCGTCCCCTGGTGATGAGAATGTAAATTCTAATTTATTATTCTTGTTAAGTACAAAATAAAATAACAATTTAACTACCTATTCTTGCATATTCAATGAAAACAATACAGTCTGTTCACCGATTAGATTAAATTAATTCCTTATCTGCATAACATTATATGCTTTAGATATAAACAGGACAAGGAATAGATTTTGACATTGTGCCGTTATTAATACCTAACCTCACACAGTTGTAATGATCAGTTTTTGGTGATACAAGGAACAGAAGTTTGCTTTTCTGACACTTTTATTCAGATATTTCATTCAGTGTGCAATGTGAGTGATTCAGTAAATCGAGCCCAAGAAGACGTACATGGCGATATGCATCTTCTACTTTACAGCTTATGTGTATGAGTCAATTTTAAAAACAATCATGAATATTGACTACATTATTTTATATAATACTTAAGTTATAAAATACTTACTGTTTTGTTTAAAACATTTTTACGTCCATGCAATTCAACAAGAACTTAAATATTATAGATTACCTGGAGAAAGCCTTCCAGTGTCTAAAATTACGCCGCTAAAATCGGTATTCGATAACCGTGGTGGTCACAGCACAAAAAAGTTCATTGTGTAACATTGTGCTTAACAACAAATACTTGGAAGAAACAATATAAAACAATAGGGAAGTACTACAAACTAAAGTATTACGTATTCTTAACTATACAGTATTTCGACAAGTACAATGATGTTGCTTTCTTGTGTTATCTCAGTTATGTAAGTTAAGCATAACTTTAAATATATGAAAATATCTTATCATTGTTATTTTCTATATTCCCGATTAGAACTGTAGTATTTATGATATTTTCAAGCTAGTTTTTTATAGATCTTTAAGTTACCCCTGAAAATATTCTCTTAATTTTCTGATATTCTTATATGCTTAGCTCTGGTAAATTATTACATTAAACATTTTTCTAATACCTGAATACGGATGTGGGTTTTCTACTTGGATGTTAGCGAACAAATCGTCTTAAACTTCAGAATGTCTAATTATATTTGTTCTCAACTGTTAAGTTAATCAAAGTTTAGGGATTTTACACTTATTCTTCAATCTTGAATACCGAACATATTCATAAATTTTAGTGACAAAACTGCAGTATGGAATGATTCAAGTTTGTTTTTTAGAAAAAAATAAATAATCCTCGTTGAAAAATAACAACAGTTCTGTAATGAGATCTAACTTTAATGTGTAACTACAATACAATCACGCATCATATGCACGCTATTTGTATCGATTTGAAAACAATGTTATATAGATTATAAAATAATGTACATTTTACCCGAAGGTTTTATAATCTAATGCACTGTAAAATTCGAGCATATTTTCTTCATTTTTGTCCAGTTCTTCAGGGAAAGAGCCTTCAATCATGGTTAATATACAAACAAAAGATTCAATCTTCAGTGATTTCCATTACTGTCTTTCAGCAATTTCAGACTGTATGGGAGACAATGATCGCAGTGTCAGTGAACATGTTGTCACATTTGGCGGCCATTAGGTCCAACAGTGGTAATCGAAACCTTTCACTTCTATTACTCCCACATAATACAGGAAATGAAGTTTGAATGACACTTGAATCAAGACGCTGACCCAAGGGGCTGACCTGTCCGCTAACATCACTTTTCTCAAGCAGAGATTCCTTTGGGAATTATTAACATTGATCAAGAACAAGAAACACTTTTCAAAATCTATAAAAACCTTTTTAGTTACAAAGCTGGATTTTTTCTCCAAATAATCGAATATGTTATTTTGGGTGCGAAGAAAGAAAGAAAAGCACTTTTTCACAACTATATTAACTGAGCATACTCACACTAACATGTGCAGGATCCGTGTGTATGCAACTATAGACACATAAATTCAATTATATATGTTCATAAATGTCTTTATTTCTACAGAATTTTTGTAAGACTTTTTACTGACCATATTATAACAACAAAAAATTAAACAGCTTAATTAAAATAATAACTGTCTGAATGATTTAAAACGAAGATTTTGTAAAACATCTATGTACAATGAAAAGGAATACAACGTTAAAATCATTACACAGTAAATAGTTAATAAAAACATGGACTTTCCCAAAAAGACTCTACATATTTTTCGGTGTCCTATGACATCATCTTCAGGAGTAATGGTAAAGGCATGGTTAGGACTTATAAACCCACATAATTATTTATATACCAATAATGCCATCTAGGCTTAAACTACCCAGAGTTACAAAATATCTGTACAGTACTTAATTATTTCTAGACTTGGACCAGCTTTCTTGTTTAATACGATATCTTTGGTTTTTTTTAATTTCAGTAGTTTCTCTGATATTTAATTCAATTTTAAATTCTATCTGTTTTATCAACTTAGTGTTACTCCAGTCTGTAACATATATTTCTGCCACATGTTCTGCTAATACCGATTCAATTATTTTCATTTTTCTACCGCGTTTTATGTTTTCCTTGATCCTGAATTTTAAATGTCTACAAATTTGGCCAATATGAACTCGACAGTATGCTTGTTTGTTTTCAAGTTAAGCACAAAGTTACACAATGGGGTATTTGTGCTCTGCCCACCACGAGTATCGAAACCCGGTTTATAACGTTGTAAGTCCGCAGACATACCGCTGTGCCACCTGGGGGGCTCGACAATATGAACACAAATACAAGAAATTTTGTAAATCCCACATTTATCTATTTCTTCTATTCTATCTTTTGTATTCGAGAGATAATCAATTTACAACGCGGAGAGAATGTTACACTATATTCTATGTACTTTTTCGTTATATTATCTATTCTTGTAGATAAACCTCAAACATATATTACACATATGGCAAGTCTTTGTTTTTAACAACTATTTATTGTGTAATGATTTTAACGTTGTATTCCTTTTAATTGTAAATAAAGAGCTGTTTGTTTTAAGATAAAACTGAGCCGATTACGAAATGAAGATATGAGCAATTTTAAAGTATGTAATGTAAGACTAACGTTTTAAATAAGAATCCATTTGTAACTTTATGACTTAACAACTTCCAAAACATGAATCGGAAAGATAGTTTTTATGGCAAGTGCATAATATCTTCAAGTAATCACAATAAATTTAAGAAATCTTTTATAAACGAGATCAAAAAGCGTAAACATCTTCCATTAGAAACCCTTTGCATATCAAACTTTGTCTGCTCATATCTTAGTGTAAGATGTTTCATACACTAAGATATGAGCAGACAAAGTGTAAGATGTTAGTGTAAGATGTTTCATACACTGTTTTCTGCTCATATCTTAGTGTATGAAACATCTTACACTTTGTCTGCTCATATCCTAGTGTATGAAACATCTTACACTAACATCTTACACTTTGTCTGCTCATATCTTTGTAAGATGTTTCATACACTAGGATATGAGCAGACAAAGTGTAAGATGTTAGTGTAAGATGTTTCATACACTAGGATATGAGCAGACAAAGTGTAAGATGTTAGTGTAAGATGTTTCATATAAACTTCTTGCATGCCTTCTCTGCTTTTAGGTTACTGTGAAGTCTTTCTTAAAACGCCCTGACTGCAAATCACGCCCTGACTGCTCTTAGCCCACTGTGATATCTATCTTCGAAACGCTTTTTATAACAAGCCTACGTGCTCATATCAGAAGGCAAAAAGTATTTATCGGTGGGAAATATTGTAAACTGAAAATTCTGCGAAACATTAAGTTATAGCATGCTCAATTTTGTTGACTTAATTTCTTTAATACCATTGACTACAATGTTTAAAATAAGTTTGATTATTACCATTTACTAGCAGAAACGCCGCCCTACGGGCGCCCGCTTGTACTAGTAATTACTAATCGTAGTATTCATACCTCATTGAAAAAAATTAGAAAAATGAACATGTTCTAAAAAAAAAGAATTTTTTTTTTGGGAAGAACTGCACGGGAAAAGCGTTTGGATTGTCCTATTAGTCAACATGATTCAATGTAAAGAGCTCAAGATTTTAATAAATTTTACTGATATAAACTGTAGTGTTTTTATATATTAAAAGTGGTATCTTTTATTGAAAATAATAGTTTTTTAAGAACTCAGTACTACATTTAAAAATTACATCAATAAAGATATAATCAAAACCTCACGTACAGTCCTAGTGAAAGTCGTGTTCTTGTTGTGGGGAGAATACTTTTATTTAAAATTGTGTTCTATTATAAAGAAAGGGTTGTTGCACGTACCACAGTTATTTTTCTAATTTTCTGAATCTTGAATAGCCAAAGTGTGAATTTTTTTTACGGATTTTTGTTTGTGGTGCCATTCAATAGATGGCGAAGGAGTTTTGGTTACATACATAGATACTGACATACACGCTACATCTATAAAAGCAATATTATAATTATGAGGATTGTTTTTCTATCGTTAGCTCAGTAACTTGACTTAGGACTAACACGAACCTTTTAGGCTGGCCAAAACGCTTGAGATATTATTAGTATAACGGTCCAAAATATCGTCAACAGCGGAGCACCCAACTGATGATGTAATGTAGAAACATTATTTTGTTGTATATTGATGTATGACTTTACGTACTCCCTATCGCATTCTTATATATAAATTTTCATTGAGTTAATTTATAAGTTAATATAATTAGCTTAATGTTTAGCAGAAGCTGTTAATAATTAAATCTTACATCGTTTCTCAACAGTATCTAAACTAAAATGTGAACTTTTGTAGGTGGACAATTTCTAAAGCTATTTTTATTTAAATATAACTTAAAATATAAATTCTATATTTGTCTGTTCTATAATTTATTATGGAAATAATGAAATTAATTTTAAAAGATATCTTCGTTAATATTACAACTGTATACACAAACAAAGGCCCGGCATGGCCAGGTGGTTAGGGCGCTCGACTCATAATCTGAGGGTCGCGGGTTCGAATCACACCAAACATGCCAACCTCCGCCTTTGCCTGGTCCCAAGTCCAGGATGAGAAAGGAGGAGGGTTGGGCGC